TCTCGAACATCTTCGCAGCCGAAGAAAATACAAATACTTACTAAATAAGCTGTGTCATATTTACCTCGTCCAGATAACAAATTATTTAGCTAAATTTATTTCAATATTCTAATTAAAAAAGAAAATGTCTGGCTGCGGTAACGTTTCAAGCGGGAAATGTTTTTTTTGAAATAACTTAAAAACGATGAAACAAATTTAAAAATGTGCGTAACCCTTACAGAAGAGGAGCAAATAATTATTTATTAAAATTTATAGCAACTCGGGAATAGCAACCCAAATCCCATCAACGTCTACGGCTATCAAGTACGAGCTCTAGATATCTCATCGAAGGCTCGAGGCCGATGTGGACACCTTCCACAATAAGGCCAGATCCAGCTGGAGGCCTCTTCCAAAGCCCATGGAAACAAAGGGCCTCAGACTTATGTAGGGCCACTTCGAGACCTAGGCGCCGAATACTTGCAAGGACTTGAACGACCTTTATCGCGCCCTCCCGAGGGTGTCATCAGCATAACAAGTGAAGGTTACACCTCCCAAGAGCACTACGCGTAGCACCCAGTCGTAATCGTTCCCAGTAAACCCAGTAGTTCCACAAGATTGGCCCTAATACTAAACCTTGTGAAACACTGTACGTTTCTCGCCGACCATATCCAATACGACTTAGGTATATTAAGAATAAGCATGCTCCGACGATACGGCGAAGATAAAGAGGCACCCGTGCGTCTCTCCTAGTGCGGGAGTTGTCTTTTATAAGAACATAACCTTTTACTTATTCAGATCATGATATTATTATGCAGGCATTTCTTTTTTTTTTCTATATTGCTCAGGCTTACCAAAAATTGTATACTCCCATTAGCAGTGACAGGATACAAATAAACGGGTATATTAGTTTAATTAGACAATTACTAATAGACAAGTAGCACCTGCACTATTATCACATTGTATTCAGTAGATGGTGATGACCCTCCTAAAGGTTATTAGACGTAACATACTAACATTTAGTTCCTTTAATATACTCAATTAACTAACAAAATATTGTATGGAATTAATTTATTAAACTAAGTGTGATTGTCTATAATTTGTTAAAAAAGTCAGTATGGTCGAATATTGACCAGATTATTAAAGCTTATTAAGCTAAGTAGTTTATTCCCATAACGAAACGGAATCTCCTCCGAAGAGGAAGAATGGTGGAATTATGGCGGCTCAAGAATATCTAGCCGCCTTGATTTTTTTTTTAAATAAGAATAATTAAGATCTCAAATGAACTGTTTTGAGATTTTAAAAATCGAAATAGAAGGCAGTGCAGCACTGCCGTGCCAATCCAAAACACTGTAATTTTTAAAAACGACTTGCAATTTTTGACAATTAACGTTTTTGATAATCGATTGCTTTTTTATTCATTACTAATATATTCACTTGTGTATAATGTTATGATGTATTAGTTACTTTTATATATCTACTTCATAGCCGAGTACTTTTTTTATTAATTCACTTAGAAAAAAAAAAAGATATTACCACTAACTTGTATTGACACGATGCGCCAAATCTTAATGGTACCAGAATAAGGCAAAACACTGTGAAACCAAATAGTGTTTTACCTTGTAGAAACGTACGTAATATTTTTGCCAACACTTATCTTATACATCCTCCTCTGGACGTCCAAGCTCAGAACACTATGCATCTGGGCGTATAAGGGGCCCCCCCTTATACGCCCTGCTTTTGAGGTCAGGTCAGGTCACCCCTCACCGACGCGAACTTCTGCAACACCAGGGGTCTACACACAAACCTCAACGCTGTCCACCACCACCGAGACAGCGAAGCAGGCCTTGCTCTTTTTACCCGAGACGCTGTCATCTCCATCGGACACATCCTACCTCTCCTACCTTGGCTATCATCTGGAACACTCCTTTGTTGCTAGGGCTGGAGTGTTCGTGTACGTTAGAGGTGATATCAGTTTCCGCCGCCTCGGCAATCTTGGAGGAAGGGACCTCTGCATCCTATGGCTCCGTGTAGACAGCGACTCTCCGCGTCTATGCATGTCTCTACAGGTGGTACCGAAACTGATCTGATATGATATGATATTTATTTCAGAAAGTAAATATTTTCAAATATTTTTACATGTCGGAATCGGTCCATCAGTCGGAATGATGGACCACGTCCAAATGGCTACAGATCCTGTGTTGCAGCAGATCCTATCCGCAGAGATCGTTATACTTGGCGACTTTAAAGCTCACAATGCCGAATGCCTTGGTTCACGAAAGTGGATAGTCATGAGCCTTCACTGTTGGACCTTCTACTGCCCTCTGATCCGGACAACCTACAAGACCACCCTTGGGGCTCTATTTGGCTCCTCGGATGATTGCCTAATCCGAAGTGCGGTGCCACTCATATGCTCCCCGCGGCTGCGAGCGTATGGCACTATCGGTCAGCCGACTGAGATGGGATGCACTTTTTCTTTGCGTCCTACCCATGGAAGCGGGTTTTTTTTTTGCCGGATGATCCCATCGTCGTTGCCGATTCTGTCACTGGCGTAGTGCTTTAGGGTATGCAACTATTCGTTTCATCTACCTTTATTCCCATCGATGTCAGATCCAAGCCTATGTTCGACAGATCGTGCCAAACGGCGTCCCGCGAAGGCAAGACTGTTACCAAGCATGGGCTAATCAGTGACGGTAGGAGATGTAAATAATAATAATAATAATAATATTTTCACACATTTCACACACGGCCGTCTGATCCCAAACTAGGCAGAGCCTGTACTATGGTAACCAGACTGCTGATAGACATACACATATATTTCTAAATACATACATATTATAGATACAGTACACCCAGACACAGAACAAATGACCGCGCTCATCACACAATTATTTGTCCTGGGTGGGAATCGAACCCACGACCTCTGGCGCAGCAGTCAGGATCACTGACCACTAGACCAACAGGCCAGTCAACCAACACGCTAAAAAAACAAAAACAACTTTGCCTCCAGGTCCCTCAAAAGAGCCATTGCCAGGGCGAAATCGGAGCAAATAAGCTTGATTGGTGAGAGACTGGTGCGACTTCCTTCTGGAACTCGTGCATTCTGGTCTCTTGCCAAGGCTGTTCAGGGGAATTTCTGTAGCCGATCCTTTCCATACCTGCAGATGGGCGATAATTTGTTGGCCTATGATGTCAATGAGAAAGCCGATCTCCTAGGCGAACTTTTTGCATCCAACTCGACTTTGGATGACGGGGCAAACGTACCGCCGACCGTTTTAGAGATCCCACCAAACCCACAACGTTACTCCAGCGGGAGAAAAAAATAAGTTGTAACATTTACCACGTCTAGATAACTAATTATTTAGCTAATATTTATTTCAATATTCCAATTAAAAAAGGAAATGTCTGGCTGCGGTAACCCCAGCAGGAAATGTTTTTTTTAAATAACTTAAAACTATAAGTGTGACAAATTTAAAAATGTGCGTAACAATTACAGAAGCTGGGCAACTAATTATCTATAACATTTAAATGACCAATTTCGACATTATTTTGCTGGAGTAACACACACGTATGGTCGCCTACTTATCTTAGTTCTTACTTAGGCAAGTCTAGGTTTTCTCGGTAGGTGGGAAAGGGGGTTTTAACCCCAAAAAAGGAGTGACCAAAGTTAAAATAATTTTACACAAAAAATTCTTTTTTTAAAGTATTCCGATTCAACAATACAAGAACAAAATAATTTATTTCGGAATAATAAAAATTATTTGCCTGAAATTATCTTTATTTCATATTTAGAGCTTCGGTACTGGACCGAGGAATCCAGCTACTAGGATACATGAAATATCGCGATCCATCCGGGCATGTTTTCATGAGGATCTAAAACTTTGTTTTGTTTTCGGAGACCAGGTAAGTACATACTTTTCGATAAATCTAAAAAAGCCGTCGGGGGTACAATATCCTTAGCCGTTCTTTTTTTTTACATTATTCACATATTTTTAGTACTTATTCCTTTCTGTATTATTATTATAAGTACCGAATACCGTACGTTACCACTTAGACGGACCGTCTGTTTTCTCGGTCCGTCTAAGATGACGGATATGCCATATGATGCGGATATGCGGATATGTGGCAATACAATTTATATGACAATGCTCACATTTAGACGAATCCGAGAAAAAGAACGAATCCGGGTTTTTAGACGGACGTTTTGTCACTGCGAAGAGCCGTCTAAACGCCCGGATCGGATATAGTGTGAACGAATTTAGAATAGATAGATAATTTCAAGGGGACCGTCATTGGTTGATGTTACGAAGAGTAACGTAGGCTACATTGTTTTTAGAAAAGAATTAGGGTCTGTCTTAAATGTATGACTTATCTTCTCAAATAAACTATGAAATAATAAAATAACTAAATCCTTTCACATTAAATTGAAACTATAGTATTATAGGAAAACTACCAACAATGAATTTTTTTTCTGCACAAAAATGACGAAGTTAAATTAAGAATTAAAAAAAACTAATATTTAACTTTACACAACCCATAGAACATGCACAGGAAAGCTAAATTTTTTCCAAGACCGTCGCCAACATCTCTACAAATTCCCTAGACACTTGTTTGTACTAAAGAGCTCTTGCCATAGTCCATTAGCTTTAGAAAAATACGAATTAGGGTGAAGGTGTATTCAGGGTGGAGTAAAAATTTAAACAATTGCAAGCAAGCACTTGTTCTTTTTATGATAAACATTAAAGTGACGTTTTCAAATAAAACAAATAATCTGAAGCTAAAATTGTTTTGTTGATTTGAGCTACTGCGTTATAGTTATATGTTTATATGTATAGCTTCATTTATACAGGCAAAAATTCACATGTGTCAGATTATTTACTTAAATTATGAATCAAATAACTTAAACGTGAAGAAACATACAATAAAAACTGTATTTCTAGAAATATTTGCATACAACAGTTTTAAGGTTAATTAAACTAAAACTTTTTAAGGTTCTTATATTATACATAAATAAATGTATATTGTCAGTTTATAGTAACAGCAGAATCAACGGTTTTGTACTTTGGTTTGCTATGAGTGAATGGTAGATACCGGTACTTGATCATATGCTGTAAACAAAACATTCATGTTAATCACACATGCTACATAAGTTTCTTAGATTAAATATTAAATTTGCGAATAGACAGAAACTTACCTTGATTTGTCTCTTCATGGTAATACAGAATAAGGTAATAAAATACATAACTAATATAGGCCAAAATACTGGAATATTAAAGGCATCTATGAATGTACAGCAAATGGCCACCAAAGTACTTTTGGTGACAGAAAGCCAAAATTTAAATTCTGGCAGCCTTCTTATAAATGGTCTAAATTCTTCAGTAGCTCTTGTAGGCAACGCTGGGCCGTTATCATCGTCTCCTGAAACATTATTATAAAATTATAAATAAATACTTTGTAGACTAAAGGTCTTATAACCAAAGTAAATATGTAAGATAAGTTTAATATATAATTACAACTTTCTTACTTTAACCACTGGGCGCAGATAGCGCCAGGTACAATCACTTCATTTGGTCAGAGGTTCATCCCCTAAGGGAAATAATTACCTCTACAATGGGATCACTGTGCCATAAGTGCTGTTGCAAATCATGCTCAATTGCACTAATACTGACTAAATGGAGTAAAAACCGTTACTTAATTTTCATTTAGTCAGTATATTTGCCCAAAATATAATACCTCACAATTATAAAAGTAATAAAATAGATTTACCATCAAAGTCCATAGCTGGGTCAATCTTCGGTGTTAGGAATGCAATAAAGAGGTTTAAATGATAAATACCCAATGCATAAGTGACTATATACCATCCCTAAAAAAAAGAAACACATTTTTTATTTTTTTATTCCTGGAATTTATATTTTGCTACTATTTTAAAAACTTGGAAAGGTGTCTTAGTAGTTTCACAAACAGAAACAGTGAAGTTGATTCTACTTTGAGCCTTACACATATACATAAATATTATTATTTAGATACACTTTTTATAACATCATAATAAGTGATCATAATAGAATTTTTAGAAATGGGGACTTAGACCAAAAAAATAGATAAGATTTATACAAACATAGAAAGGATAATTTCTTTCTGAATGTAATCAATTACAAATATTATATTGGAAATTTAATAGGACAACACCTGTCACATCAGTTAATCTTGAATATAAATCCAAATAATTTAATTTATTGTTGTGTTGGCAGTAAAATGTAATACATCCTAAAAAATAATTCACACATATCTACTTCACCATATCTAGTTATAACATATTAAAACTATCCTTCAGGATTTTAAACAGGCACATACAAAAGACAGACAAATACAAAATCTGTAAAATTAGTTTGAGCCACTAACAATAGTGGGGTTTTTATTTTATTTAACACATTTCTCACACAGCCGTCTGATCCCAAATTTCACAGAGCCTGTGCTATTGTAATCAAACTGCTGATAGATATACTTGTCTTTTATATGTTTAAATGCATACATACTTATGTTTTAAATTGGCACAGGTATATAATGGATTTTTGATAGGTTATTTATTTTGCAAAATATTTGATAAAATCTATGACTTTAGATTCTTCATTAGACGATTTCAAACAATTTCTTTTTTATAATTTGAGTATAAAGACTTGAGAATAAAGATATTTTGAGTTTGAATGAAAACTAGTGTTAGTTTATTATTTAGCAGACGCTGAGGAAAAACTAAAAATACATAAATATGACTTCGATTTTTAATTTGACAGAAGGAAAATGGAAAAAGAAATAACATCTGTACACAACTTGACCAAAAATTGGTTTGTTAACAATAGGAACTGCATTCATATTTTCAACACATTTTATAAACAAATTACACCTCAACACAGAAAAAATGATCATGCTCCTCATACAATTATAATGGGCCTGTTGGTCTAGTGGTTAGTGAACCTGACAGCTAAGCCCGAGGTTGTGGGTTTGATTCCCACCCAGGTCAAATAATTGTGTGATGAGCATGATCATTTGTTGTGTCTGCATGTAATTTATCTATAATATGCGTGTATTTAGAAATATATAAGTATTTTTATCAGCAGTCTTGTTACCATAGCACAGGCTCCGCTTAGTTTGGAATCAGACGGCCATTTGTGAGATGTGTGAAGCTATTATTATTCTAGTAAGCTATTGTATCTTGGTTGGGAATGGAAACCACAACTTCTAGCTTAGCAGTTAGCATCACTAACCACTATAGACCAACAGGCCAGATATTGTAACACAACCTAAAAGGAGAAGTCTTTCTTAAATCAATGTTATTTACAAAATTATATAATCTATATTGTACTATATAATGAGTGTGACAATTGGATTACTGAGTCGCATTGTCATACTCATATGAGAAATACTTTTGAAAAATATCAGAAGATAATAAATAGGCCTATTCCAACCTAACCAAATTCATCAACTAAACAAGTATTTTTACCATACTCAAGATCTCATAAAACTACAATTAATTATTGGAAATGAGTATTAAAACAAAATTTTACCAAAAACAAAGTTTTCATTGAATTATTCATTACAACAATCAGCATTTCCTGTATATGACTTGTGCTTATCAGTAGTGTTACATTTCTCAGTTAGTTATAGACAGTTTTACGTTACATGGTTAACCAAGAGCTAAGATATAACCAACTTACTTGTTTTGTGAATATTCGTAGCATAAACAAGGCTAATAGTACAAAACTCCCAACCCATCGAAATCTTGTGTGTGGTGTCCACTTGTCTAAGGTGCCTTGGTATACCTGTCACATACATAAAGTTGTAGGTTTTAATAAAAGGGTAGACTTAATAAAGTTAATTCTTAAGTTAAGAAAGTAGTGAACGTGGCTTGGACATGACAAGCAGATTAAAAGAACTATATTAATGAGTGTTTGTCTGTTTACTAAAGGAAGGAAATCAAGAAATAGTATCTCCTAAATTCACTAAACACACATGCTAGTGTTGAAATTTATTTTGTAACACTACATTTTTATAGTATAAAACAACTGTTCGGGTTCTTTGAATGATAACATTTGTATTTCGCGGCATGCACGCACGACATGTCACGAAAGCAGAAAGGAAACGAATATCTATTAATGTAATTATCAGATTATAAAAATAGCAAAAGTCACCTGAGAAATACGAGTCCAGGCCTGTGAAAATATACCTCTTCTTGAATTTTCGGATACTAAATCATTTCCGTCCATCATTTTAGGTTCGTCAAATTGTTGACCTGTCTATCACTCGAAGTACATTACTGATATAATAAATAGGTATTTTGGGTAAGTACACTTAATGAAGTGACAAGTAATAAATACAGTTAAAACTTCTATAGAAACGTTAAGTTTTCCTATTTTTAACAAAACTTGGAAAAGGCTAGTTGCAAGTTGGAACCTAGTTTTCTCTGTGGCCAACGATAATAGGGATGCTACATGACATTTAGTTAATGTTATTCGATTTAAAAATATGATTAAAACCCGAAGACCAATTCTCGAAGTTAAAAGTTATATCTCAATTCAATTCTGATCAACGTTCGATCTCACAACTGTTATAAAAGGTATTTATCGTAGTAAAGTATTAAACATTCAACGTGACTGTAATGTGATTATGTCGTATAGTAACCGAAAATTGAATTGTTAATCTGCTAGTCCTAGTAATGCTTTACTATTTTACTTTTCTTTTTTTGCGGTGAACGCACATACGTGTGTCTTTTTTTGGGTTAAACTGGACTAGATTTAGTCGGCCAGAATCTGAAACCTCCGCTAAGGAAGTTTCAAGTTCAGACACAAGTTTGTTTCGACTCTCGATGACGTAATGATGATGATGATTTCCTACGAAAATACCTTTTATGATAGTTGTGAAATCAAAAGTTTTAAATTTGAAAAAAGAATTGAGACCGAACTTTTATTACCAGAATTAGGCTTCAGGTTTTAATTTTTTTTGTTTTTAGTAATGATTTCATTGTTAATATTTATATTGTGGAAATATTCAATTAAATTAATTTTTAGAAACGCTGGCCCTGAAAGGACTTTTAAAATAAACTTTAAACACTTTGAACTTCGAATCGCAGAGTACATGGCACATCGTATGTACTTAGTAATAATAAGTATCAGTATCGTTCGCCTGTGCGTATGCATGACCATAATAGGCTAAAGATATGCGGTATTACTCTAAACTTTACACCGTAGCGGCAGGAGGCATCCCTCGTTAGTGAAAAACCTTTTCCGGGTACAAAATTAGCTGGGCATCTGTGAAATGCACAATGTTTGTTTCAGTTGTTACTACTTAAATCGTTTAAAGAAAAAAAATTACACAATTGTCAGAGGAGAATTCCAACTTAAAGTAATTGGCTTTACTATCTGTTATCTTCAACCTAACTAGCCCCATTATTAATTTACATCTTTAGTAGACAATGCTTTGTGAATAGAAGAACAGAAATGGCATTAATTTCGAATAAATGTTCAGTTTAGATTTGGTTTATGAGGTTAGGAAAATTAAATTTAAACTAACAGTTTTTTTTTTCAATTCGTAGTAGCTCATTTTAATTCTTAAATTGAACTAAGTACCGCGTCAAGGTCCGGCGGAGACAGGCCTGTTGGTCTAGTGGTCAGTGACCCTGACTGCTAAGCCGGAGTTCGTAGGTTCCATTCCTACTCAGAACAAATATTTGTGTGATGAGCATGATCATTTTTTCTGTGTCTGGGTGTAATTTATCTATAATATGTATGTATTTAGATAAATATAAGTATGTTTATCATTAATCTGTTTACCATAGTAAAGGCTCTGCCTAGTTTGGGATCAGACGGCCGTGAGTGAGATGTGTGAGGTTATTAATATTATTATTAATTGAACCTTAAGTAAGTAATATTTCTAACATAAAAACTCGATGGCACTGTGTACTGACTCAGCGCAGTTTCCAATTTCCACTCGTAAGACACCTTTTATCTCCTAAAATTACTTTTATCACTTGGAAAGCAATTAATATCTGAACATTTCACACAATTTACAATTGCTTTCCAAGTAATTAATTTCATTATTTAATTAATATCGACTTTTTTTATGAAGTGTCAACACTACTGTAAACGTGTCAAATCCAAATCACAGATTATAATGATCCAAATCACGTTTGGTTTTTTAATTTTAATTCTTACTACAGATACAAATTCTTTCAGCCGCCAACAGTGATAAGTACCGCCACAAGCAAATAATAATAATAGTAATGGTTTTTAGTAATTTGTATATAACAGCACAGTAGGTACTATAAAGTATCCATAGGCTAATTTTGGAATAGATTTCACTGTTCCAATTAGCGCCGATGTGAAATTACGAAATATTTCTTATTCTGTTTCTTTCAAAATTAGTTTATTTAGTTGTTTGAACATAACTCAAATATTTGACAGAAACCTTTTTTTTTTTTTAATTTTATAGAAACTTGTGGGGAAACTCTTCAATGTTTTCGATCCTTAAAAACTAACTTGGTGTAAATCGACAGCACAGATTAAGTTAAAGTTAAAACTAAAAACGATGTTTTCTCAAAATTAAAATCATATTAGTCTATACAAAAGTTAGGAAGTCTATACAAAAATATTTTGTTCGTTGCTACATGCATTTTTTCGATCGTGATTTTTTACGAGATGATCAATACATAAATCAAGAATTATATTTTTTTATATATTTTTTTTTTTGCTTTGTGCTGTCTCGTTCAAACTTTATAATTATATACTATAAGCTCAAAAAAGAAAAGCTTGCTTCAGGATTTTGCCTTTGTTTAAATAATTAAATAAAAAATGAATAAGCTCGAGTTGTCTAAGTTTTTCACAATAAGAAATCACGGTTGAAATAAAAAAGTATTAAATAAACAAGCTTGAAAAGGTACGAGGATAAAGATTATTGCCAGTTTTTGAAAGAAGTAGTTTCAATTGCAGTCTTCTTTTGTTCGAACGCCCGCTGCCCACACCTATCTGTCCCTGTAGTACAGGGACAGATAGGTGTGGAAGTAGGACGGGTACAGGGCCTGTACCCGTCCTACTTCTGCGCCCTGTTCTCCCGTAGGTGAGGATTCAATTAAGCGGGTTATTTGTTAGTTGAGCGCCTGAGACATTAAAACCATGAAAATCTGGGATTTCAGTTACAGTGAATAAAATTAAATAATTCAAAGTGGAATGTTTATCTTCTTTACATGGTAAAAAATAAAGTCGCTTTATTGTGTTGTACGCTTAGATTTTTTAAATTAAGCAACGGATTTTAATGCGGTTTTCACCAATAGAGAGAGTGATTCAAGACGAAGGTTTATATGTATGTATTATATGTGCATATTATAGTAGAGAAATTTATTATATTATTACGAATATTTCAAAGATTTGCAGTGAGAAACATGTTTTTGTGCGCTTACATTGCAAACGCTGGCTAAACCGTAAGAGATAGACCTTAAAGTATATCTTAAAAAAATCTACTAAGTCCGCAGTGGTATATGTCTACCTCTTATAGGCCGGCCTCACTTTGGACACGTTTTCGTACAAATTTGACTCGTGTGAACACGCACAAACGGTCCTGGCTCTCCGAGTACTACGGTGTCTCGCAAACTCCATGTGACGTGCACGTATAGTTCCGACATACAATTTCAATCCCAAATGGCTTGGCCTAAGGATAACCCACAGTAACCATTTTTAAATATTACAAAAAAAGGGTTATTATTATTTGTATTATGTGTATATATATGAATGTATGTAACTCAGCAAGTATATATGTACGCATGTGTATCTTAGAATGTATGTATATCTGTCACACTATTTCTGTCCATATCAGATACTCTACTACTACTACTCAGATATTTCCCAACCACGCAAAGGTAAACTGGGAGAAAATGCGCTGATGAGGCCGTAGGGGTAACCAGGCTGGAGCGGTCGCTACCTGCGTGTGGTATCCCTTGTAGAGGCCGGGGTTGCTGGCTGGCTGAGACTTGATTACCACTTATTGCTGTGGGAGTGTACACGATGGTGGCGTTGGTGCTGCTGCTGATTTGTTTCTTGAAGGCTGCTTCCAATTACGTCGGGGTCACCGCTGTGGAGGAACGGGTGTCATGGGATGGGTGTCATGTCGCAGCCCAACGGTAAATGTTGAGAAGTTGTATATATGCTAATTGGCGAGAGAATTAGCATATCGCGAAACAGGATTAGCAATTCTCATTCAGGAGTTACTCCTTAGTTCGGTGTGTCTTCGTTAGACAGCGCTGTCTTATGTTTCTTTGTTTCATCGTATGTGGAAGTGGCCATATACCTTAATGTGCTCAATTTTTTATTTTTTTGCTGGCTTATGTGGAGAAGCCCAAAATACATGCTGCGTCCTATTGAAATATATTATTACTCTTCGTTTGAATTTTTAAATCACATCAAGAGCCTTTAATATTCCTCTGCTGAACATAGGAATCACCTTGGGAAGGAGGTTTTGGCGTCTACTATACCTACATTTCTGGCCAGACGGGTCAATTTAGGGTTTCTATCAAGTTTTCCTTATGAATAGGGGTGGTGGCACTTCGTGTTCTTTATCTGTCACCACACGGAAAATACTTTTGCTAATTCATGTAAATTAGGGATTTCCAAAATGTCGATATCGACCCCTTCAGGTCGAAAATAGTTTCCCAGGGGTCGACATAAACGACATTGCCTCGGGATGGCTTTATAAAATATATTTCACGATCATCATTCTCTAATGCCATTAATATCTTCTGAAACTTTAAGAAGATTTTTGGTTTATATTAGACTTGCAACGAATATTCGGTTACTATTCGGTATTCGGCCTATTCGGCTGCTTTTATTATATTCGGCCGAATACCGAATATCTACATATTATTCGGCCGAATACCGAATACTTAAATAATATATTTTGTCATTGAGAAATAATTGGTAAAATGAAAAATTAAAATCGATTGATTACGTATATATTCATATTTTCATTTCTGTTATAATCATTTAAGTAGTCATTGGTGCTTATGCACATGCACAGGTACATAATCATCTTCTGAATTGGAAAAATGGAGGATTCTATGTATTTGAATTATTGTGGTAATCAAAATTTGGAAGGGTAAGGTTCTCATTTCTTTTATAATCATTTATTAAGTAGTCATTGGTACATAAAACAGGTACATAATTTAATTCACGTCTGTACAAGTTTTTGGCGCTAAAATCCAGCCGAATACTTTTGCCTAATATTCGGCTATTCGGTCAGGGGCCTCGCCGAATATTCGGTATTCGGTATACTGCCGAATATACTATTCGTTGCAAGTCTAGTTTATATAATATTTGCTGTCATAGAGCATGGCCTGTGTTGCTCTGTTTGCCGTTGCCGTTTTTCCTCTCAACGTTTTACTACCTGTCCAAGTTCGCAGACCCTTCATATGCCATCATTAAAAAAAATGTTCTTTTGTGTCTATTTAATTATTATTCAATGTATAAATACGAAAAAAATATTTTAAATTAAATTACATGCTAAAATAGTATTTTTTATAGTTTTTGTTTGTACAATTAAAAAATTAAAAGCAAAAAAAAATTGGGTAAATTTTACACTTTATTTTATAACCCCTTATAACCCCCCCCCCCCCCCCTCGACGATATAAATTTATCCACTGTAACAAAAGTTCGAGGTCAAAACTCCACTACTATAGATTAAATGGGTATAAAGAGGACTACATAAATATGTAATAAGTAAAAAAAGTGTTGTTTAAGAAATTTAATGGAATCACTTTTCTAATTACAATTTATACATTGTTATATTTTACATTTTATAAACATAACTATTATCTAAAAAAGGTAGTTCTAATGAGACTACTAAATAAATAACATGAACTAAAAAAACCTTAAGTAGTCTCTACGTCTACGTCTATTATTGCGAGTTTTTATTTACAATTACATAACTTTATCATAAGGTATTGGACACAATAAAAGATATTTATCCTAAAATATTATCATCGCTTTGAATACAAAGAAAATTTTGGTCCAGCTAAATCCTATCACACTAAACGCAACTCCTAGAGAATGATTAGATATTGCTATTAGGTTCACAGTAGAAATTTACAATGCCATAAAGTATTAATTTTAACTTGCTAATAATAACCATAATGTATTTACTAATTTTACGAAAAATACAATACAATTGTAAAATTTATCGTCAATATCCATAATTAACAATATTATACGGTCACCTACCTGATAGTAGGTATTAATATCCGAATCTACATCGGCGCTCTATATAGCCTCAACGACGAGATTTATAATGACGATTGTCATATAAACATTTTACAAGTAGAATAAATGCTACGTTTAAAAATAATAGTTTAACATCAACAATACTGCAAATTATTTTCAACATATCTAAGTAAAAATGCATTGCCTTCAGTATCCAAGAGGATTAATTTTTTATCTGAGTGTTGAGTGAAACACCAGAGTTAACAATAGGGGTGTGAAGTGGGTTCAGTCCCAATTACCCCTATAAATTTTAGAATAAGTATGAAAGAAATGGAAGTATTAGTAGCACTCATCATTGACCATTATTGCATTTAGCACACATTTTATTCAAATATATTACTTTTAAGAGTATCATGATAGCATAGTCTTATTCACCAGTCCATTAAACATGTTTAAGGGCGATTACTGAGCCTCAATGGTTTATAAAAATAGAGTACATGTTGTCTACATTATGCTTTAAAAATGAACAGTATCCTGTTAAAATTAATAACATTTACAATATCATTTTAAATTTATATATCATACATACATATTACACATGTATGTTTTAAATGTATATGATGGAAAAGTAAAAATGCAAACAAATAGAAATATTTAATGTAGTTTACTACATTTATGATTTATCTTTCAACAAAATACTGCCCATACCATATTTTATGTTAAAATGCATAGTGGTAAATAATGCAATGAAATTGACTTCACCTTTAAAAACATCAGGATGGCTTTAAAAATAAAACTTATCCTTTTTACATTTCAGCTTAATATTATCTCTATGAATATTTAACAAACACAACTTTATCTTACATTGGTGTCATGAATTAAATAAACCTATGAAGAAACCAAGTTGTAATATTGTAATTATAAATACAAGATTCTTATTACATAGATTCATTGGATCTTTCCATATACATGAATCAATTTGATATGTACCTAATTAGTTGAATAACTTTATTTTACAGCAGAAAAGTTCTGAATTTGGTTACTGTTGTTTGATGCTACCCATGAGCTGAAGACATCCCTGTAAACAAATAAAGTATATTTATAACATAGTATTTTTAAAGTTAAAGTTTAGATATTAAGAATTGTTTCAGTTTTTTCGTAAATTAGCGTAACATCTTAGACTTGTTTTTCTAGGAACTGTGTGTTTTGATTACTTACTTTAAATATATATAATATGTAAAGAAACCATACACAGAATAACAATTAAAACTTACTGCAATACAATTATATTTAAGTAACTTTAGTTATTTTGTACTAAGTTATGAATGCGGCTAAATACGTTTTTTTAAGTTGATTGGTAAAAAGGTATCCAAATGAACCTTTTATTTCTCCTAACTCATCATAGTTATCCTACCTAGTTCATCCTAAGCCCTTTTCTGTACATCTAACAATGTGTATGCAAAGTTGTTTGATAATCGATGGAGTCATAGCATAACAAACTGAGTCCCGTTTTGTATTTTTAATATTAGTTAGGATCATTAAACACACATACATAAGACCGATTACGGTCTCATGCATGTAAAAAGTCCGATTTTGATGATGACACTAAAACGTGGATTCACAAAATAAGTTTAACAAAAGCATAATTTACCTGCAGTGACTGACTACACACTCATTGGAGCAGTATTCATCCTCCCATTCACTGTTTGCTATGGCTGGATTAGTGCAGCCCTGCCTGATGCATGATGGTGGCACTTGATTTTCATTTTGCTGTAATCAAAATGTCAATAAGAAAATTATTTTTATTTTTGAAATATTTCTGTGTGATATATTTACATGGAAGATTTTTGTTGTACAGTGTAATTTCTTTGATGTTGTTGTAATAAGCAGGCCTCAATGGTGTAACGGCCGGTCTGGTAAGGTTCCCGGGGACTTAATTCCTAGGGTCTCCTGAAATTACATGTGACGGGGCATAGTGTGGTTTTAGTCGGTTTAATGCTTTTCTACTGTGAATATGATTATAAAGCCACACGAAACAAAAACATACTACTAAGCCTATTATTCTACTAATATTATTATTATTAATAGGTATCCGGAATTTTTAATAATACTCAGTAATTGTAAGTTATGGGAAAAAATATGCATATTTACATCAGATGTTTGTGAAGGAACACCAGAGTTGCCATTACTATTAGATGAATGCTGGTCAGTTTTGGGCATTTGATTCTGATTTTGTTGTTGATGTGGCTGTTGTTGTTGCTGCTGATGCTGTTGTTGTTGTTGCTGCTGTTGTTGTTGCTGCTGCTGTTGTTGCTGCTGATGTTGTTGATGATGTATCTGTATCTGTTGTTGTTGTTGCTGCTGCTGTTGTTGCTGCTGCTGCTGCTGTTGTTGTTGTTGTTGTTGTTGTTGTTGTTGCTGCTGTTGGTATTGCTGAACCTGATGAGCCTGTTGCATTTGTTGATGTGTTTGTTGCATATGCTAAAATATTAGAAAAATGATATTATTAAAGATTAATAACTTTATAATCAATCTACAGAGCAGAATATTAACTGTATCACTAGTGTTAGCATGTTCTTTTACTTATGCTAAGTTAAAAATGAAATAACTGACCTGCTGCGGATGATGATATTGCATTGCCGCATGTACTGTACCCATTGGCGGTGACTGTGACTGAACTTGTCTGTATCCAGGAGGCGACAGAGCTGAGTTAGCAGAGTAGTTGTTCGGCGATTGAGCTGGCTGATAGCTTCTTGGCGACTGAGCAATATTTGATTGACAATTCTGTGGTGATGTGGCCGGATTCACTTGATAACTTTGTGGTGAGGGTGCTGGTACATTCTGCTAACAAATACAGTACTAAATTCTGTAAAATATTCTGCTAAATATATTTTAACCTTTATATAACCACTACATATTATTATGAAGTGTGTCATTGCTATCTATACACTGTAAGTATCAAACAAGCAAACAGCATTTCTGAAAGTCATTGCTACAATGGACCATTATAATAATAACTTTACACATCTCAAACATGGCCGTCTGATCCCAAACTGGACAGAGCTTGTACTATGGTAACCGGTCTTCTGATAAACATACTTTTATATTTCATACATATTATGAGCAAATGATAGTGCTCCACCTCAACCTCTGCCTTAAGAGTCAGGGTCACTAACCTCTAGACCAACCAGCCAGTCAATAGACGACAACTTGCAACCGCATTGTCAACCCTCTATACTTGAGGCCTATACAAACATTCCTGTCTTGAAGAATCCAATATTGTAGTTCTTCAAGAAAAATAATAATTTAACCATTGCTTGAAAAAATTAGAAATTGGACAAGTTTAAGAACAATTTCAAAATCATAGTAGTCTCTGCCAGTCTGCGACTTACTTTCATTATTTGTATTAAGTTTGTTATAATAAACCTCTACGCACTTAACTTGATGCTTTCCTGTAATTTTGATGCTTAATCTATTACACTACTTGAAACTTAAATGTTGGAACACACATGGCGACCGGATAGCGTAGTGGTCTGTGTAACGGACTGCTATTTCAAAGGTCGATTCCCGCTCAAGTCAAACATTTGTGTGCATGAACATTTGATGTTTGATTTGGTCTGGGTGTTTCGATGTATAATAAGTATGTATTTATAAAAGAAAGTATATATGTATTTATAAAAGAAAGTATATATGTATTTATAAAAGAAAGTATATATGTATTTATAAAAAAGAAAGTATATATGTATTTATATAAAAAAAGTATATATGTATTTATATCAGCTGTCTAGTAGCGATAGTACAAGCTCCGCTTAGTTTGGGACAAGATGGTGTTGTGTGAATGTTATTGTATATTATTACATCATCCTAGAACAGTCATCAGAATGGGAAAGGGAGGTGTACCTAACCTTGACTTCGAAAAAGCCTTGGACAAGCATATGGTCTCGACTCTCCGACATTGGTGTCCCACCGAAGATCATCAACTTACTGAAGGCCATCTATAGGAAATATTCCTGTAGAGTTACACACAATGGCCTCATCTCCGAAGACATTGAATTAAAAACCCGGGCGTTCGACAAGGTTGCGACTTGGACTATGCCGATGACCTCTGCGCCGCAGTCACACGCCCTGCTATATGCAGTCCAAATTAGACGTCTTGCACCGAAAGGCAGGTATAACAGGTGCGGAGATGCGATCTGGTGTAGAAACTCGCACACCACTGCGGATTGATGCCAAGGACGTGAAGCGCGTCCACAATTTCACTTACCGCGGAAGCGTCGTATCGGAAACAGGGGGTACAGAGGTGATTTGCCAAGGCCCGAGCTGCCTTCGCACAACTCCGGCCCGTGTGGCAGTCACGAAAGTGACTCGGAGCATTAAAATCAAAGTATTCGGGTCCAATGTAAAATCAGTACTGCTACATGGGTGAGAAACGTGGAAGGTCACAAAAGTCATCTCGAACCGGCTCCAGGCCGCCCAAAGCAAACTTGGCGGCGCACTGTTGCGTTGATGAGGTGAAGAGAATCGGCAACACGTGGAGTGAGGTCAGGTGTGAAGCTCAGGACCGAACGCGATAGAGGACTACTGTGGACACCCTCTGCCCAATCTTAGGATATTAAGTAGACTTAGGATATTAAGTCAAGTAAGTCATGACCATCCCTTTGTTAATAAAAAACCCTATACAATACATACCTAAAGCATTTTTCAAATCTGATTAATAGCTCCAGAGATTATCACAACAACAAATAAGGAAATATACCCTTAAACTTTATTATACTGTTATTAACTTTACACCTAATATATTACAGCATCCGGACATACTCTCTAATAAATATTAGAAATGTACTTGTTAGCACATCTTCTTATTTAAGAAAGATGTATTAACAAGTACATTTTTATTATGCTGTCCACCTTGCCATATCAGTCTATAGGTGATTAGGGGATTGTCATACCTCTTGAGTATTGTGATAGGCAATCTATCTTCAAAGTATACATTGATTTAAAAAAAAAGGAATGTATGTGGCTTCAATTTTTTTTAAATCTACAAATAATAATTTCCACTATTACTACTTACCTGGTATGTCTGTGGTGTGAGACTCATGTTGCCTTGATAACTTTGAGGAGACTGCTGAGGGTTAGGAGGATACCCCTGTGGTGTTTGAGCAGGGTATGACCCCTGAGGCTGGGCACCAGAGTAGTTTTGTGGAGAATATCCTTGTGGTGCTTGATTAGGCACATAATTCTGTGGTGAGTGCCCATTGCCATATGATTGGTTTTGATAGTAATTACCATAGGATGGGTTTGCACTGTTAGTGTGATTATACATTGTTGGATTGTCAGGTTCTCCTCCCTAAAATGAAATTTAATTCTATCACAAACAATAGAGATTAATGAATAATTGTTTAAATATTGACTTAACGATAACGTTTAAACAGTTAAATGTCTAAGAATACAATAGTACCTTGACATTTATTACCTTTCCTTACTTTTTTTTAAAAAGACGACAAATGTAGTTTTGACTTTTAATGAGTCTTGGGAAGTTATAACCACAATTTACTATTTTTCTTTACAAGAAATGTAAGTAATTAATCACAAATGCATGCAAGAACTGTACATAACCTTTACATTGTGTACAAATAAAAGCTTAGCAAGATTATAACCTATAAAAGCTCAAAGCTTCTTTTGTTAAGTCAACTCGGCAAACTTAATAACAATTTTCAGACCTTGGCAATAAGCAATGTTTAGAATTTACAAAAAAAAACGAAATTATACGTTTACTGTGAAAATAAAATGAAATTATTTGAGGTTAAGGTAGTCAAGAAAAGCTACAAAGCTCAACCAATTCAACCATCCATTTGTCAAATCTTAAATAGCGCCATCTTTAAGATTTGTTGTGTACTGATGTGAGAGAGAAACGTTTTCCAAATTTGCCATAGATGGCGTTAAATAGCCATTACAACTAACACAAATTATTTTCTCTGAAGTTTAAACATTTTACTTTCAGTAGCACAAAGTGAAATAATTTAGTTAATTTATCTTTTAGAGAATCACCAGTTATGGTGATTATCTTTCGTTGACGAGTTTCATTAGCAAGTAATCGATATGGCATTAAGTGTATGTGCAAGAGGTTTAAAATAATCGTCTGATCAATATGAATATCTATGTGTAGATCCAATATTCTATTCTTTATATATATATATATATATATATATACAGTATAAATAAATAAATTAATAAATAATTTTGATAAATGAAATAAACAAATATATATTACGATTATATTATATAAACGTTAAGTTGGTTTGTGTATGAAAAAGAAAAGTTCTGCACCAATAGAGCTTAAATTTTGACATGATATACAACCCGCTTCAAAGATTGTTTTTATCTATTTTTCGTGTTAGTTTTGTTTGTTCCTCATTTCTTATATCAACCATCAACGAAGTGTGGTTAGGGTACAGCTAGTACTATATAATACTATGCATATATTGTTATTACCTCTCACCTACACTAGTTAATTTACAAAACACACAAAAGGATTTATTTATTCAATTACCAAGTATACTCTTGAAGTATGTATATTCATCATCATCATCATCCACAGCCTTTAACAGTCAACTGCTAGACATAGGCCTCTCCTTAGAAAGGAGGTTCTAGCCTACTATACCACACTGGCCGGACAGGTTGATTTTGGGTTTGTTTCAAGTTTTCCTTCTCTTTTGCAGTGCGGTTGACGTACGTAGTTTGCTCCCTTAGTTGGCTCTTACGACACCCATGGGATGAATAAGGATTGTGACTCTGTATTCTTAATCTTAATAATAATATTAATTGAAAATCTCTAGTGACAATTTGTTGTCAAAAAGTTTGTTTTCAATTAAGATACATTTACGTAAATAGGCGGTTATTTTTTAAAACATAACCAAACTGAAAATTTACAACATAACCAAACTGTTATGTACGAAAAATCTATATGAAGACAGTTCTTGTTGTCTTGTATTTCTAGATATGTATCATTGACCAGTGGTCAATGAAATCAAAACAAAACAATTAAAACTTGTATTGTGATCGGATATCAACCAAATCACAATATCTAGTTCCTAGTATAATTTCATTTACCTTCCATATCATGATTCAAGTTATAAAAAGTTATTGAATTACCTTCGATACTAAGCTGGCTCTGTAGGCAGCAAGTGCTTTGAGGTATTCTTTCTTGGCTACTTCTGTTTTTTGTTTGTACACCTGTTACAATAATAAAATAAGATTATTTATGATGATTGTAATATATCGATAAGCTTACAAAAAACAATTACAAACAGTACTTACACTTTTATGTTCAGAGTCCAAGCCATCCCACATAGATGCTACTATTTTGGATACCTCACCAAAACTAGCATTTGGATTTTGACCTTTGATAGCTGCCTGAGTGTCCCGGAAGAATAATGCATATGCTGATACGGGTCTGTAAAAAGAATTATAAATAATTTATGTGCTTTAAATTTTATAATGTAATTACTAAATCAACTGTAGTTAAATCAAAAACTTCTAGTATTACATGAAACCTGCTTACTTTTGGGGTTCATTGGGATCACGCTTTTTCTTTTTTTTCTGAACTTTGGGCTTTTTCTGCATTTGTCCACGATTTACGCCATTTTCCATTGGTTCTGGAGACGATCTTTTTACACCCACGGTACTAACACCCATCTAAAACATAAAATTAACATTAATTTTGAATTACAAAGAAACATGATAGTGTCAGTTTAAAATACAGTTCATTGGCAACATAAATATATAATAAAAGAATATATATGGGTTAAGCGATAAAATTTGCCTATACCTGATGAAGCGTAGTTTGTTGCTGCCGGCTCGCTGAGCAATAATGGATAGGCAGAAGGCTTTCCGCATCACCAGGCAACTACCAACAAACAACCAATTCATTAGAATTTCATACTACTATCACTACTGTTTGATCTGTATGTACCACTACAAATAAAAGTAATATGTATGCCAATGAACTATATTTTCTACATATGGATGAAAGCTAATTGCGACATGCTTGATTATAAAGGTGTATTCAGTTTATGTAGAAAAATGACCATGCAAGAAATTAAAGCAATCAGTATGTTATACAGTATAGTAGGTGTTTATATATATAAGACAGCAGTAAATAATTAATAACAATTCAATTGTTAAGCACATTACATAATTAAATAACAAAAAATAGCAACCGCAACCGGAATACAAATTGCATGTGATGATAACCAACTCTATGCATGCCTTTTTAAATTAATTTTCTTATAACCTATGCCGTTACTCCTAGTTTAATTTTCAAATATTGTTCATTATCGAAATACATTAATAATTGTATGACTAACATAAAATAGGCAGACATTGAAACAATAGATCTATCCAAGTTGTAAATTACAATGTTAAAACTTATGGAACAACATGCTTTGTACATAATAATTTAAAATATATATAAACTTAACACATGAGATATAGTTATATATATATGTAGTTTTAATAATAAAATAGTAGTCCACCTGAGAATGCTGTGAAGGCACACTGTCATCAGAATCATCACTTGTCGTACCAGGGGGTGAAGCTCTTTGCGGTGAACCATAAACAGGTCCAGAGGGCTGAGTGGGTGTGCTGGGTGTAGGTGGGCCACTCATTACTTGGGTTGGTTGCATCATCAGCAACCTCTGCTGTCCTCCAGGTTGTTGTTGAATCATGTAATTTCCAGCTGGCGCACCTGCACCACTGCAAGCATATTTTTCATTTAGTTTGATGTACTTGCAAATTTTATTTTGATGGATATTTGAGAATTTTGATTTAAAATGAAGAATATGTATCGATCTGTATCAAATACACAATTAAGAACATAATTATATTTTAGTAATCATTATTATATTCCATTATGTTTATGTGGTTTCAACGAGTGCTTTGGCACTAATTACATTTGTTATTAAGTGTTCAGGATGAGGTGGCAATAAATGAACCTATTTACACATAGAATGTAAAAGACTTTTGACTTACATTTTAATCATCACATTGTCTGTGTGTTTCCATGCTGATCTGAGAAGAAAGAGAAAAGTGTGTACCAGATACCAATATAATCTGTTTTTAGTAAGTGATATGAATAATGAAGTGATGACTTAATTTAGAAGATTTAGAAAGACAGATTTAAATAATAACACTTTGCATTCTCGAAGAAATATTCATATTCTAGATATGTATCAAGTATCTATTTAAATATATTTTCATTGACGTTTCATAATTCATATTTAAATATATTTTCATTGATGTTTCATAATGTTGGAATAGTTACTATTAGTCTCACAATGTAAGAAAAAAAAACAATTGATGAGTTGCATTGATTCTTATGTGTGATGTTATCACACCAGTTTCTGATTTGTAAATATTTCTTTTTTACATATAAATTTATGGTCAGTTTGTTGGCCGGCTGGTTTTTGTATAGTATTTATGTTATTTTCAGTTTGACATCAGTTATAATTGTGTGAAACACCTATCGTAGACTTATTATATATAGCCTAAGGGTTGAACCTTTTTGGTACAATGTTACCAAAGCACAAGGTGAAATCACATTTGACCAACTTTACTTAGTTAATATAACTGATGTAATGAGTTTAGTACGGTAGAATAAATTTTATATAAAAAAAGATAGACATGCATTAGTCCCTATATAACTTATCACATAATTTAGGTTATAAAGGGATCATTCCTATATAACTTAAATTATGCTGCCTACAACTTATATTAGGGAATATGTCTTTGTATTGTAATTGTTTTAATTCTGACAATTTTTTAATTTAATTCTGTTTAACATATTCATATTAAACATACTATTTCAATAGACCTAAATGCTGTATGACATACCATAGTAGAGTACTGTCAATTCAATTATGCAAATGGCAGTTATCATAAATGACTGTAAGTGGAACATGAAATACCTTTTGTGCCATACTCACTATGGCTACCATAAATACTTAAGACTTTATATATCATTCTCATGCATAAATAGAATAAGAGCCTTGTTTTCTCAAAGCTCGTTCAGGCTCAAAAAAAACTGTTTAATGTGCATGTGTAAATACTATACATACACAGGACATATCAAGAAGAAATCGCAGATTGATAAAGAAAAGTGCATTTAGTTCACTTTTTCCAACAGATTTAAAGAAATCTCACCTGTGTGATGTGACGGGTGTGTGTGGCTCTTGTAAATAAAGAGGTTGTTGATACGAAGGTGCACCTCCAGGTGGTGACAAGCCGTCTTGCGCTGGGTTCATCATACCCACCTAAGAACAAGTTTTTAAGCTGTATTTTATATTTATTCCATAGCCGCATTTAGTCAATCGTCATCCCCATTCATCTAATACTATAATCTCAGTTTGCTTCCAACGTCATTCAGTTTACAAGTTAGGTTATTCGAATTTCATAACCTAATATGTTTAAGTATGTGAATAAGATTTTGAATATTCATTAATTAAGACCTTATAAACAAAACTTAAAATAAGCAATAGATGGAAACTATGAGATAATACTAGAAAAGAAAGAAAATTAATTAAAACAAAAATTGACAGTGACAAATCAACAATGGGTGAGCGCCTAGAGTCAGAAAGTTTTAGAGCCTTAGCGCTAGCGGGGTCGCAAGAGCAAACATAGAGATGCTACAATATTAGGAATTATCGAATAAATGATCAACGTTATAACAAGTACAACGCAATTCTTGTAGAAATGAAAAATAAATAAAAATATTTGTGGTATGAATATTACTTTTTCAATTTTTGTTAATCACAACATCATTCACCACAATTGAGACAGCATCGTCTTTATAGCAACAGGACTAGCTCTTTTAGCTGTCTTTCTTGACTTTATGAGTGTGACTGTGTGAGCGTTTGACTAAGTCTTGCTTTAAGTCAGTTTAGGTATTTGTTAATTATTTTTGCATGTGGCAATAATTTAAAAGATAAAGTTTGGCAATCTAAGTTACTATAGATAGTTCAACTCAGTTGTGCGCGCGGCCCTATGTGTGCGTGGGCTTGTAAATATACAACTTTCATTCGTGTGGCAGTGACGCGGCAGTCGTCGTCCGAGCAAGACGTGTTGTTATCGCTTTTTCTTAAGGGTACAGTCGTTTACGAAAATGTCTAGTTCTTCACGGAGAAAATGTTTAGGGAGTCAGGTAAATATTTTTTAAATTTAGATGTAATTAATATTTATTATGATTCTATATACGAAAAAATATATCCTTGTTGACGTTTACGTATTATTGTTTTAGACTCGAGAAACCATTGCTAAGGTATACGAATTTCTGAAAATAGATGCGAGAGATATATTGGAACTAGTAAGTGATCCAGTTTGCAGTGCAAGTCCAATTTTAATATCGAAATTAAGTGAACATTTAAATAGCGTACGGAAAAGAACAGCAATGGCAGTGGGGGTATAAGAGAGAACAATTACTAATATATTGGCTGAAGGAAAAGAATCTAACTCTAAATTTAAATCTCCGCATAAAGACCATAAAAACGTTTAAAAAAGTTAGAATTAGACAACTTTAACGTTGATGTTATACGTTCCACTATTCAAAATTACCATTTAGAACATTGCGAGTTACCTACCTTGCTAAAGTTGAAAAGAATATTTCAAGATAAACTTAACTATGATGGAAGTATTTCGACTCTGCGTACAGCTTTGTTAAAGTTGAGATACAAATGGCGAAAAACTGTGGATAACAGACGTGTTATTATAGAGCGGCATGACATCCAAAAACTACGATTTTCCTACCTAAAAAATTTACTCAGATACCGTCAAGAAAATCGGTGTATCGTATAAACAGATGAGAGCTACATCTTAACTAATCATGTGCAAAACAAAGGATGGGGTAATAAAGATGGACCACCTTTAAAGAGAAACCTGTCGAAAGGACAAAGAATTATCATTGTGCATGCTGGTTCAGAACAAGGTTTCGTACCTAACGCACTATTGACATACAAAGCAAATAGTGTTTCTGGTGATTACCACTCTAACATGAACGCAGAAAACTATGAAAAGTGGCTAAAAGAACGTCTAGTACCGAATCTTCCACTTAACTCTGTGGTTGTGCTTGATAATGCCTCATACCATAACGTTCAAAATGACAGAGCCCCAAATTCTAATTCCAAAAAAATAGAAATGCAGAGATGGCTGACAGAAAAAAATATAGCTTTTAATCAAGATATGAAAAAAATTGAACTGTATGATTTGATTAAAAAAAATAAAGAAAAATATATTTGTTACCAGATTGACGACATACTTCAGCCATATGGCATAAAAATTCTTCGACTGCCACCATATCATCCTGAACTAAACCCCATAGAAAATGTGTGGGGAATTTTAAAGAATTATATTGCTTCGCATAATGTCGACCAAAATGTGACGGAAATAATGAAACTCATAAATGAACGTTTAAGTCAAATTGATGAAGGGATGTGGGGTAATACTTGTCGACATGTACAATAGAAAGAAGAAGAATACTATAGACATTTTGACATGGAGTCAGAATTCATAATTAACCTTGGTGAGAGCAGCGAATCCGAAAATTCATCATTTGATTTTTCAAGTAGCGATTCAGAATAATGTTCAATAAATAAACATTACATTACGAAATAACTCTTTTTTTTTAAAACCCGTATATAACCCGTAAATAACTATATTTGTATTTGTACGACTGTACCTCTTGTCACGCACACAAAGTCACTGTATATGTACAAGGTTTACCCACACATAGGGCCGCGCGCACATCTGAGTTGAACTATCTATAATAAATGTAGACACATTACCTAGCTGTATACATGCATTACATGCGTTTTCCTATGCTCAAACTAAATAATTTCAAATAAATCAAGATTATACACAATAATATGGTGTAGGTAGTCGGGATGAGGACGACGATACCGCGGGGTAGCTCGGAACAACGCGAGTCTCGGATGGGGAAACGGGAACTGCAGGTGCTCCAAGAGAATATAATGGTATTATAGCATACCGGTAGGTATATACGTCCTGAGATTAGCAAAACACAAAAATCTAAACCTCAAGAGAAAGCAAATGTTAATTAGGTCAAACACAACTGGAGACTTTTAGTCATGGGTAGACTTTATTCAGACACTGTAGGTACATTTTTTATTTATATGACTTCATGCACTTTTGTACACTGGCGGTGTGGAAATCGCGAAGGGAAGGCGCTAGTGATGGAATAATAAGTCTTCACACTCATATTTAATTGTGAATTCTTAATTAGCAGTTAGCAAATTAATTGTAGTCGGTACATATATATTATTTGTTAATAAGAAGTTTAATTATAGAGTAGGTTTTGATAATGTAAGTTTGGAATAGTGTGACGTGTACGTTGTAAATAGGTATTTTGTGAATAGATAGTGTTAAGTGACGAATTGACGAAGGCTATTTTAGCAATTCTATTTTAGAAATATATTTAGGAAAATTTGTCTTATCGTGTGTAATGCTGAATAGTTTTCCCTGAATCCTGGCTACTCTTAAAGAGGATTTTCATCCAGAGTTCAAGTTATTCGCCATAGAATTACTTTCGTTTTTTTTAAACTAGATATTAGCCTAATCTATAAATATATCTATTCATCTATTCATTCATTCTTTCAAAGAAGAAGAAACTGCCGCCGACATAATCCGGATTGCGAGGAAGTGGCCGCACAACGGGCTAGTATCATACTAGATACAACATCGCTCCTAGAAGCCTGTGAATGTCTCAGGAAACTTCTGCGCTTCTGGAAGGAGTTGGGTGGCTCACTTAGCCCACCTTACCTCGACGAATAAAGGACCGTTCTTGAGTGTAAATGCAGAAACCGGAGCCTAATACCAACACAAAATACGTAAATCGTAGAATAGAATAGAAAGAAAAAGCTGTAACTCAAATGCAATTCTTGATTTGAAAAAGCAGCAAAGAGAGTCAACCGGTTAGTAGGTAGATAGTAGCCGAACCTTAAATAGGTTTATCTGTCATATTTAGTAGATAGTCTGTGCTTATATATTTATTTGTGCCAGTACTAATTTTAGTGAGCTAGTCTGGAGCACATGATATCGTGTTTACAAACAGCATCTGTTTTATGTCCTATATTTCCACGTAGAATTAATACATAAAACTGAAGATAAGTACAAGTATTGAAGTCGATAAACACGGTAACAACTTGCAAGGTTTTTAAATTGATAGTCATCTAGAACCGCTTACAAACTTTAACACCCTGATCGGGGTTAGTAGAATTCTTGGTATTTTTCTACTGTTATTTTTTGGGTGTTTTAAATAATGTTGCTAAAAATGTGGTAGTTCGTCAGATTACACTTTACAAAACCGAAACCAAGAATGTTCACATCTAGCCAATTGAAGTAATACCAGTAGAAAAAGCTCAAATACGAGTAAAAGCGATCGTTTCAATATGTGTTCTCGGACGGAAATAAAACGTGGATCTCGATTAGAACTGAAGATATAGAAAAGAAAACTGCAAACATAAGAAATGTATAAGAAGGAAATCATATTTGAATATAGCTTGAGAGTGGTAAAGTAATGATTTCCAATGCTTTATGATAAATCTGTGCATCACTACATGAGATTAAAAAAAACGCAAACAACATTGTAGGGAGGGATTATTCATCGGTTATATATGTAACAGACGGATTAAGAATACAGAGTGTCACCACCCCTATTCATCTCGTGGGTGTCGTAAGAGGTGACTAAGGGAGCAAACTACGCGGGACAACAGCACTGGCCTCTCATACCACTCTGGCCAACGTCTGGCCAGCATGGTTTAGTAGGCCAAAACCTTCTTTCTAAGGAGAGGCCTATGTCCAGCAGTGGACTAGTAAAGGCTGTTGATGATGATGATATATGTAACTAACGATCCTTTTTTTTTCTGTGCCTTGGAAATCCCCTCGGATATCACCCACCGGTGGGGTGATTATGTAATACTCGAGTAGTCGGGGAACCATCTTGCCGCCATCCCGGCCTGCTTCTGCTTGGGTGACAGATGGCTTCACCTGTCACACCCAGGCCTGTGCTTATGGAGGACGGAGGTCGTTCTCCGACCACCGGTGCCTGAGTCGTCTGCAGTACCTGGCCCGTTCCCGTTCCTGGCGGGCCGGAAGAGTTCTAAACTTCTCCCGGTACCACTCCGCCATCTCCTTCGCAAGCATAACTTGCTCATAGAAAGAGACGGCGCAGCGAACTCTCGCTCCGTACCATAGCGGCAATCATGTTACCGAACGAGCGAATTCCCACTTCGATGGCCGCCACGAGATCGCGCCTCTGCTCAAACCGGGCATTCTGCCAGCATGTGGAGCGCCTTGTCCACGTTCTGGCCATCGCAGTGGTGGCATTCAGGGGTTGGTTTCTTGCGGGTCAGACACTAGCGTGCCTCCTTGCGCCACTGATACAGAGCTGCAAGGGCTCTCGCCTCCAGGTCCCACAGTGGAGTTCCGTCCAGGAGACTTGCTGCCTTAAAAGAGATCGTGCGGTACCCCCTTATGACCCTGATGGCCAGCATTCGCTGTGGTCGTCGCAGTAGGGCGACGTTGCTGGCCTTCAAGACCCCCGCCCATACTGGAGCCCCCTAAAGGGCCATTGACCGCACAACCTCCGAGAGGAGTCTGTAGTAGGGGGTTGTAGTAGCTACTACAACCCCCTAAAGTATCTAGGTCGACTTAACCATCCAATACTCCTCGGATTAGGATGCCTGAGACCGGCCATCGGGGTGGTTTTTAGTGGCAACACCACATACTCCTGGCTCCTGCGTCTCCGAGGAGCCGGAAATCCGACGGGATTTTCTTCACCGTCAACGAAAAAAATTTTGACTTAACCCTGTATATATCAGCGGTAATTATAATTTTTTATAATCTAACTCGTGCAGGATACTTACCTACCTTACTTATGTGTTAGCAAAGAGGTGAAAAGTCAGTTAAGTCCTGACAAGTTGTATTTTTAAAATGGTGGGAGGTATTTTACTACTTTTTAACTTTTAAACTAGTTTGAGTGAGTAACAATCGCTACCGTAGTAATATCAGCCATATGATATATATGTAATATCAAAAAAAAGGCAGGACTCTACGTGTGGAGTAGCCATTATTTAGTAATAAGATGTTCAGATCATCTTAAATGTCCACTTAAGGAGTAGGCTAGCTTTTCTGAAGATCTGACTAATTTGGTTAATCCTAACAATCTGTGATTGTTACTAATGTAGCAATATGATTTTTATTCTAGGCATGAAAATTCTAGTAATCAGTGGTTAGTCCTCATATTTAGGACTTATATTTAGTGTGGGTCCTATTAAACTTGTTGTGTTTCTATAAACACTCGATTCCGTTGATAGTCTCGCTTTTGCCAAGCCTATTCTATACAATTTAAGCGTCCTGAATAGGTAGGTATTAATTGCCCCATTTCACAGTGACCATGAACATATTTGATTATTTTTCATTTAGTTTATATTTAGACTAAAACCTCTTTAAATAAGGCCTTCATTCTCAGTCATTTTAATATTGATAGCACACAAGAGACGTGTGACAAAAATAAATTTATCTTTGTTTTCTCCTACTATAATGTGTCTCATCATAGGGAGCAGTAGTCTACTTATTAGAAACCCTGTTTCTCCGCGAGAGGAAAAGCGAAGAAACTACTGCAGAAGAGGATAACTCTAAGTAATTACTAGTTTTTAATTTGTATATATCTCAGGTTGACGTATCCATTTCCTCATGAATAAAAGGGTAGTAGAGCGAAGACTGAAACTACTAAATAAGCAGGTAATCGATTAAAGTACTTCAGCCATTGCAGTTATTGCATAGTTCTGCTGGCAATGTGTCGATATGGGTTCCTTAATTTATTATTATCCGTTTCAAATAAGTAATTTTATCTAAGTTATTTCTGTGTGATAGTATATGGGACATGTAATACGGTGTGGCGACAATATTATTTAAATATTTTTTAAATCTGAAACTTTGAATTGTGTTATATTTATTATTTAATTTCCTTAGCTATTCTTTCACACTCATTGTTTGTCCAAAAGAAATTTGGTATTTCACGTGTGCCAAACGTCCCGCGGCAGCAAATTTTTTTTCTAAAGAATTTACCGTATAACAAGATTCGTTACATGTATGTTAAGTATTTTTTACTTTTTAGTATTTTGTTCTGAGTGTGTTACATCTACTACCATCATGGCTTTTTCAGATTTTCTGAGCCAACATTTGAACTTGTAAGAGGTTTTTAATGAACGTGTGATACTGACTCTAACAAAATTAGCACTTTGAATTCACCTTCACTCTTCCTTAATGTTTTTGAAATACTAATCTTATGATACCTCAGACTACTGCTGTAAGATGAACATAGCTAAAATATGTATAAGGGTTTATTGTTTACGTAGGATTACGTAGTCGTAACCTATTTCCAGCAGTGGACTATTAAAGGCTGTTGATGATGATGATGATGAATCCTAAAAAACGAACGGTAGCAGTTACACTACCTAAGTATACTTTAACGTTCTAATATTTGTAGGATTTTCATAAAATTACTGACTGAAACTAGGTGATAACTTGATTAATACTAACCTGGGGAGCAGAATGGTGCAATTGCGTATATTGTATGTGGGAGTTTTGCGCGCTGGTATTCGTGGCATGCTGTCCATGTATTAGGGGTATGTCGAATTCTTCATCGCCAAAAGATGGTGTATGAAATGTCTGAAACAGTCAAATAACAATATAACAATAAAATTAACCATATACTTATTATTTAAAACTGATATTTTACTTGACGGTGTTTCATATCTTCTTTTGACAAAAATAAGCTATCTAGGTTTACGGAATTGAAAAAGTAAGCATTACGCTTTGAGTTTTAACCGAGTTAAAAAAAGAGGTATTAAATTCGTCGGAATCTTTTTTCTTTATTTTCCCACATACATTTTAACTGATTACTTAAATACGGCTTGATCTACTATATTTTTTGTTTAAAAGGTTTTTTTCTATTTCATCCCATTGCCAGGTCAGCATTTTACGAGTATTGATGGAATTCTTCAAATTTTATAGGTAAACCATTACCGATGAGTAACTCGAACATTATTTTTTTTCAAAGCGCACGAATTTGGTAAAGTTATGATGAACATCACAGATAGCTACTTGAGCCATAAAAAAATATGAAATGGCGAAAACAGCTTATTTTAATTTATTTAGTCTAATAATTAGTTATGATGTATATTGAGTATTATATTTAAGAAGTTAAAGTCAGGCCTTAAACGCAATAATATATAACAGGTACAGTTCCTTTTTGGGTTGGTTTGATAAGAATTACTGATCATACGAGCACAAGCGCATTATTTTTGTACATCAATACCTATAATACTTCACGACAGGTCTGTTTCATATTTATAATCCTAGTACGATAGTTAAGAACCGGTTCCATACAACTGTCTTTGGGAATATACGCGAATCCCTAGGGATATAATAGATAGTTCTTTATTATTTTTAAGTTTCTTTTTAATTTTGTTTATGCCATTAATGAATATAAAAACTTTTTTTTTAAATGTTAATTATTTTAATACCTGACTAGCAGAACATTCGTTAGTTGGTTGTTAAAATAAACTCGGTTCCAAAAATAACGGGTCAGTCACATAAACCCGAATATCTCCCGAACTACGTATGCCATCCTAATGAAACGAAGACTATTCGATTGAGAATTTAATTATACAGATAAAAAATAAAATAAAACTTAAATCTAAACTCTCTAACTCTTAACTTATCTCTAAATTAAAAAAAAAAATTAAAGTACTCATATTTTTCTTAAGATTACATTTTTTTATGATTGTTATTTTGCTGTTTTTCATCACTTTCTTCATTTAATACTTTGTATTGCCTCCACGAGCTCTTCTCACAGCTTCCAGGCGATTAGCATGCTGTACACCAAATTTCGGAGCTGGTGCTGAGGAATACCCCTTCCCATTCCTCCACCAGTGCTTGTTTGAGCTCGGGAAGCGTGATTGGTGGGGGGTTTCGACCTTTCACGCATCTCTGAAGGTCGTCCCAGGCGTGCTCGATGGGGTTTAAGTCCGGGCTTTGCGCTGGCCACTGCATGAGTTCGATACCGACCTCTTCAAGGTAGTCATGTACAATTCTGGCGGTATGGGGACGCGCATTATCATGCATTGATATGCCATGCCGGTCCATCCTGGCCATGAAAGGACCTACATGTTCATTGAGGATCTCTTCCACGTACCTCTCTGCATTTAGAGTTCCATTTTGAATGAGTACCAGCTCGGTGCGGGCCTCAGTAGAAATCCCAGCCCAAACTTGTACGGAGCCTCCACCGTACGCCACTTTTTCCTCCACACACGCTTGATGGAAGCGTTCCCCTGGTCTTCTGTACACCATGCTTATAAAGCAGGAATTTAGACTCGTCCGTGAACATTACCCTAGACCAATCGTCTAGTGTCCAGTTTAGGTGCTCGCGCACGTATCTCTGTCTTGCAATTCGATGTCCCCGTTCCAGTTTGGGGCCATTTGCGGGCCTCAATGGTTTCAAATTTGCTTCAGCAAGACGTCTTCTTACTGTTCGAGCGCTTAAATTGCCACCTCCAAAGCGAATAAAGTGAGTTTTTAGACCAACAGCAGTTTGAAAACGATTTCGGAGCATTGTAGCCACCAGTTGTCTGTCTTCCCTAGCCGTTGTGCATCTTGGTCTGCCATTTCCTGGTCTTCTAAGGTGTGATCCGGTCTCTTGGTACCGCTGGACTACCCGCTGAACAGTCGACAAAGATACACCAATGTTTCTGGCTGTTTCACGCTGGCTCCGCCCAAGTTCCAAAAAAGTTAGGATTCTGGTACATTCCTCTAGCGTGACTGCCATGCTTCACCTCACAGAATAATAATTATGCACGTGGAAGACGTTCACGATAATTTTTTTTGTGACAGAATAGAAATGGAAAGCATCTATAATGAAATGAAACAAAAATTTTGTTTTTAAAAATAGTCATTTTTTTAAATTTTGTTTTTCTAAAGAAGTTTTTTTCATCAACCAGTTTAAATAATATGCTATTAGAAGCGCAACTAAAAAGTCTTTATTCTGTTTTTTATTTCATTGATCTAACTTTTACAGTTCTGGAGGTATTTAAATTTTTGTGACTGACCCGTAATTTTTGGAACCGAGTGTAGTATATATTTTTTGTTGTGATTTTGAAACAAAAGCTAAAGATTAAAGGAAGATACAGCATAGGTATAATATTTTCTTTGTCAGTGTGTAGCAATTCACTATTAATGAGGTACTTATTTAGTGGTCATTCAATCAACAAAACAAATTCAAATAAAAATAATAATAATAATTTGATTTTATTAATTATACTACTGTGTGTTTTGGTTTAAATGTTATTTTATTGGACGTTTTTATTTAAAACTAATTATCCTGGATGGAACTCCACCGTGGGACCTGGAAGCGAGAGCCCTTGCGGCTCTGTATCAGTGGCGCAAGGGGGCGCGGGAGTTGGGTTAGAGTTCTGAGTCTCGAGAAATCGAGGAGCAGAAATCTCCGCGGATACTTGTGGAGGAGTGGAAGAAACGACTGGAGCAACCAAGTGCCGGGCACGCCGTTATTGTGGCGGCAAGACCCATTACGGAGGAAAGGTTCGAGAGGCAACATGGGACCCTCTTATACTGGCTGATGCAGGTGATCCGGGAAAGGAAAAATGTTTTTTGCCATTACTCATGCCATTGATGTTTTGGAAAATTAATATTATTTATTATTTATATATTCAGCGATAAGATAAATAGACTTCTTTGCATTGTTTGGTGATTCAATTTTGGTGTGGTGTGGTGATACTTCTATTATTTTGAAACCAATATATTATATATTATTAACCAATATATATTATTTTGAAACAATTATTTGATAACTAATATTATTTCCAAGTAATTCTTAACAATTACAGTTTACTAAGTGCAATTACGTTTTGATATTATTTGGTGACAGATTTACTATTTTAGGAACAAATATTATTTATTAGACCATTTAAAATACAATTATTTGCTGATTGATAAAATCATAACCGACTATAAATAACACCTTTACTTCAAGTCAAAGTCAGCATTTTCTGAACTTTACACTCGTATTACTTCATTTCATATTGTGCTTAAAACCCGTTGGGGTTTAGTAAACTGACATTGTGTTGTCGTTGACTTAACATTAATTAAAATGTCTAAGATACAATAACAAATATTTAAAGGACTTCACTGTTAAAGTTTTTGTAATGAAAAGGGACAACTTCTTAAAATGTTTGTTAATTACTATATTATAATAATATAGTAATAAATATATTACTTGTTTATTTAATCTTATTTATAGGCCATGCTGCTCATAATAAAAAATCTGAGAACCTAACAATTCATGTTAGATTAATGAACATAAGCTGTTCATTAATCTAACATGTATTGTTAGGTCTAACATGTACTGGTAAATACTCTCAATTTTATCAATGATTCAAAAGCATAGTAGTAAGTTTGTTTTTGATTTTGACAGCCTAATAAGAATTGAAACCGTTCCTAAGAGCAGTTATGCACTACTTCCGTTCTGAATCCGATCCGAACCCATGAAAATACAGAATCTAGAAATCACGAGCTGAATTCGGATAATGCTTTTCGCACTTCCTCTGTTTGCCGTGATTATGGGTTTGAAAGGCTGACTGACTGAATTCGTATATTGTTTAAGAAAGAAATCGGATAACGAAAGTCGGATCTAGTGCGTAAGCAACCATAGAAATAGTTCTACGACTACTTCGGACCGTATTTTCACGGATTCGAATCGGATTCTGAAAACAAATGTAAGTATATCGGTGCGTTACGTGTGTATTGTTTACTTAGGCCTTACACATACGCTGAACATTACAAGAAAGTATCTCTGGGAATAACAGAATGCAACAAGAAGTTTCCTTACAATGTTAATGACTATAAAAAGCTCTCAGTATAATTGTACTATTGTATGGAGTTCTCTTGGAGTCGACGTTGTCGTGCTGTCTATTTTACGTATAATGATTTAAATTCTGTTATGTGTATTGTAAGTTTGTTTTACTTGATCAGCAATTACGTTCAATAATAGTAAGAATTGAGTAGGCAAGCTTTGTAAATAAATACTTCCATCTTACGAGTATTATATCAAATACAGGTAAAAATATGGGGATAGCACAAAAATAATATTTTTTTCATATTTATCGTACAAAATCCCGACCCAATAATGTTAGCCCAGGTTGCGCAAATTGGGTTCTGTACAAACTTGTGTAATATGCAAGTAATCATTTTTGCCCATTTTTTCCAAGTGACTGCAGTTTACTGTTCCATATTGGTATACGTCACTGTTAATCATTTAAACTCAAAAAAATAATTTCTAGACGCAAAAATATTATATACAAATTTTCGCGACTGAATGAAAAAAACATGTTCTGTGACATATATAAATACAACTGTTCACTCGGATGTAATTTCATTGGCCGTATCAAGGCGGGTTATTTATTTAGTTTACTAACCTAGATACTAACTGGCTAAGCGCAAACACGATCACTGTAAATCAGGACCCTTATTCTTTAACATATTAGCACTTGTAGTTTAGGGCAAGAACTTTAACAACTGGAGGTAGACCCTAGATTAGAATAAGTACAAATAATTTAACGTGGACACGGCTGCTCACAATCAAGATCTTTCTTTAACTCCTTTTACAGCACCCCTAATTGTATTAAATGTTCCTTAAAACAGGGTTATTCCAGAGTTGGTGTTGTGGTGGCGGCCTAACTTGTATTGAATTATTTAATACCTTTTAATAACGTAGATTTTGTTAAGCCGGAAGACCATAATCTAAAAATAATTTCAAATAATAAAATATGATCCATACTTGACGATGTTCAAACAAAATTTGAGACATCAAGGTGAAGTTCAAAAATAAAAAATAATAATATATCGGACATCTGACACACAACGCCATCTAGTTTTAAACTAAACAGAGCTTGCCCTATGAAAGCTATGATATAATACTTATATACTTCTTTTGTAAATACATGCATATTATACATAGAAAACACCCAAACTCCGACACAAATATTTGCAGATCATACAAACATTTGGTCCGACTCGGGAATCGAATCTGAGACTACAGCAGTCGCATACGCTATCACTGTACCACCGAGGCAGTAAAAATATTTAGTTCTATATGTTTATTGTGAAAAGTAATATCTGATGTAGGTGTGTGTGTGTCACTTGAGAAAGTGTGGAAAATGTATTTTTAATAATATACAATTATGGAAATGCCCAGAAACAACCAAAAACAATCATAATACATTATTTTATTTTATTATGTTGCTACTCCTACGTACTGCTTCTGCCACCACTGCAACCAATATATTAATTGATCGTTTTTTTATTCGTTAATTTCAAGTCCAAATATTACATATTATTAAAGTAACGCATAATCAGTTGATAGTTGTCTCGATTAGACCAAAAATCATCATTACTTTGCAATGGCTTTACCTTGGCTTGACAACCCATCATTAACTTTAAAAAGGGGAAGGTTATCTATTCGGATGTTTATATTTTTTTTTTATGTATGTTCGGGCATCACTCTGTCATGATGATTTTAGACGGATGTTAGTATTGTTTGAAATCGGTTTTTTTTTTAGAAGGATTTTCTTGTTTATGAATATTTTGTTTATTTTTATTTTATTTCATACTTAATGCACATGTTGTACAAAGGCGGACTTAATGCCATTAGGCATTCTTTCCCAGTCAACCTTCAGGTGATGTAGAAATCAAATGAAATGAATGAATGAAATATGCGGTAGGTGCAAAATAAAATACTATTTAAGCAATTAGCAGCAATATTAAGCAATTAACTATAACTCTAGGCATGGTTAGAATATTTCCAGTTGCAAAGATTATAGGTTTTTCGATGGGTATAGAGAATTCCTAGAAGAAGCCCTTTAGAATAGAGAAGGCCTTTAATTTCAGGCATAATTCAAATCTAATAATGAAATAAGGTATTTTTTAATTTATATGTGTCCCCAAGACAGGTGAGTGATTTAACCTTACAGGCTGAAAAGCGTGTGACTATGTAATACGAGTACATTAGAAATCGCACACACTTTTTATGGCTAGTTAAATACCGTAACCGCAAATGTCTAATATCCGACATAAAAGTTTCAAATAATTTTTAAATACAGAATTATTAAGCTTAGTCTAAATAAGACCCATTATGACAGGTTTTTCTGTATAATTCACAATTTTGTATATTGAGAATTTTGTTTCACATAATTCGATGTTAATTTTCATTATGAAAAACTTAAATATGATGATGAAGCTCGGTGTCCCTCCTTCTTTCGTAGCCGAAAATTTTATTTATTGAAATGTTTCATATAAGATTTGTTGATGTTAAATTTCAATATATTTTTCAAAATATTGTTGTTTTAACATTACTTGAATGACCATGTTCTACAGAAACACAATTCAACGAATTTAATAATCATATTTTTTTATTTAAACAAAGTTATCAAATAATAGTATTATTTTTTACAAATATTGTCTGTTCGGTTTATTTTCTCACGGTATTTTGTATTAGCGAAAATGTGAATAAAGACGTTAGGCTATTCATAATTTTATGAATAAATATCTTATTAATATTTACTAGCAATAAGTAAGCGGTAGGTTAGAAACTGCAACCCCGTCAGGAAGGAGCTGCTTCCAGAAAAGTGGGTTAGGTCAGAACTGCTTTCCGGACATGGTTGCTTCGGCAAGTACTTGTGTCGGATCGGCCGGGAGCCGACGTCACGGTGCCATCACTGTGATGACTGTCCTGACGACACATCGCTGCACACGCTGGCGGAATGCTCATCTTGGGCTAGCCAGCGTCGTGATCTTATCGCGGCAGTCAGTTCTGCGGGTGGCCTCTCGCTTCCGATCTTGGTTTTATCCATGGTCCGTAGCGAGAGTGCATGGAGCGCCTTCGCTTCCTTTTGCGAACATGTGATGTCCGCAAAGGAAGCGGCAGGACGGGAGAGAGAACGCAACATCGCTGTCTCTACCCGCAGAAGGCGCACCGGGCGCCGGAGGGCACTTGTCGATCTCCGGCCACCTTAGGAAGTGGCCTGCGGGCGACGACTTCGGGGGATTCGTCGTCTGAACAGATACAGGCCCAAGAGGGAGCGCACCGTGTTCCGTGTGCATTCCTAGAGGACTGCGACCGAAAGGTAACGGTCGCAACAGGTGACGAGACCCGTCTTAGGCGAGACGGGCCAATGCCTGTCGGGGGTGGCGAAAGAATGCAATTGCGATTCTCGCTCCCCGGCCATTGGCAAGGAGAGGATCACCGAGGTGGTTTTTAGTCGGTAAGAGTCCGACAGACCCCTTCGCCATTCCCCACTGGGCGAAGGACATCCATGAGGATCTTCCACCCCATTAAAAAAAAAAAAAAAAGAAAGAACTGGAACCCCACAAGACAAGGAATCGCCATCAGAAATGAGCTGCGACCAGAAAAGTAAGTTAGGTTAAAACTGTAATATCAACCCCAAGGGTTCACAAAAATAATGTACCTATTTATACGAGGGTATGCATTTTGTCAAAGGTATGAATTGAAACGTATAGAAACTGTAACTCGATAACATCATGTTTTTCTTGGTTTAAACCTTTCTATTAATTAAACAATATGAGGGTAAAGAATATTTGATTTGTTTTTCATGATATAAATATGGAAACATTACATGTTATTTGTAACATAAATTAATTGTTTAATATTTTTCCACGTAAGTATTCTGTGTATCGATTATTCTATGAAATGATAATAATTTAAGAAAAATCTTTATGTAAATTGAAATTCGTTTTATAGAATTTCATTTCATTTCTATAAAACAACGTACAACTATAATAATCACTTGTAAGTATAGAGGTCGGTACCGGAGAATAATTTAGGGTGAATGCACTGTTTTATCCAAAAGTACCGTTGTTTTCCGGGAAGAAAGGATGTCTATGTTAGGATATAATTATGCAGTACATGATACATACCTGTTCAGACTATTGGTTATGAGGGTAGTTATGAATTTTAAATTTTGTCACCGAAACTATTAAAAATCATCCTATTATCGGCTATAATATTATATCCGCATAACCAAAACCGGTCATATATGATACATATGTCGTTATTTGCATTCAGATCCGAAATTTTACACCGACACAGGAAGACTTCCTTAACCTTTAAGCTTTCGGGTACTTAAAATGTTTAAATCAGGGATTCCCAAAGTGGTCGATATCGACCCCTTGGGGTCAAAATCGGTTTCCATGGAGTCGACATAAACGAAAACTAATTGTGGGGGTCGACGAGGTCTAAAAATCGACCCCTACTAATTAACACAAGTTCTTATTTGAATTAGTTTGAAACTTTCAAGCTACTGTATTAGTTGTGTTACGTATACCAACTTGTAATATGAATAACTAATGTTTTAATAGGAAGTATCATTGTTGTACGTTACAAAAAACTCAAGTCGATAAGCGTGAAGTAATTTAGCTATGGGAATCTAAGGTATCAGTTAATTTTAAAAAAGGGGTCTCGTTTCCAATATAGTTCGGGAATCCCTGGTTTAAATAGTGAATCATTGTGTGAATCTGAAGTTAATATATTTTATTACTAAGGCATTGATTCTAAGTGATGTAGTGAGCAACTAAAAACATAATTGAAAACTTAAGATTTAAAAAATAATAGTATAGGTAAAGATTGTGTGTATGCACTCAATCGTACACATTTCAAATGACTTTTGTTTTTAAATTTTGTTAAAGTTTCTAATAACCTAGGATCTCAATGCTATCTTAACTCAAAGTGTAGGTTATCACCAACTCAACGAAAGTAAAATATATGGCGAGGGTCACAGTTTCTAAAAAAACTGAATATAAAATATATTTCTATATGTTTTACCATGACACTGCTATCAGCTCACACACTAGAATATGTAGACAATTCTAAACTCACCTGATCATTCATAATGTATATACTGCTCTTTGTGTCGCGAGGAACAGCCAACGGTGATTCGAGGTTTTCTGGTCTCTGAAACAACAAAAGTTCCAATGTACGAGTATAACAGGGACTTTTATGTTAAAAATATCAACCTGTTATTAAAAAAACCTATTTTTAAAATTTCCTTTTTATTTATTTCTTCGTTCCGAGATTTTATATGCAATCGTATTGGTTATAATATTTCTCAATTTCTCTACTCCACAAGCTCGCTCCGCTTCAATGACAGGTAGCCTAAGACCCACTTATCGGGACACGGGTTAATAGTAATATATAATCAACTTAAATGAAAACTCCTAAAAAGGCCACAGGTACACAAACTAAAATTATATCATCCAAGTAAACAATACTATTAATTAAATATGTTTATAAAATAAAAACTACTGGGCCTAACTATGTTAAATTGTTATGGAACCAAATGGCAACTATTCCGCATCAAACTAAAGAAGAATCGCGTAAATCGGATCATAAATCTCAGAGTAATCGGTGTACATACATTAAAAAAAAAATACCAATCGAATTGAGAACCTCCTCCTGTTTGAAGTCGGTTAAATAGAAACACTATAGAATTTTGTTACATTATAAACCTTTTATGGTCTTGTTGTACTAAAACATTAACACTAGGGAGACAAAAGAGAGTTAAGTTTGGTGAAAAATTGTTTTTAGAACGCATCTATAAAAACAATTAAGAACCCATATAATTTACAAAAAGTAATTTACTTATAAAAGATGATTACAAAAGTAAAGGTTGTTATTGCTATTAATAATAGATCACTTTAAGTATTATAAAGGAAAGTCAAATTTATCATAATAAAAAGAAGTCATATTGTCAGCCTTGTCTTCGTCTGCGTAAGTACGTTTTATGTCATGAGTTAAGAGGGACGGGCACAATTTTGCTATCGCAACAATGTATAATACCATCAAGCACAGTACCCACACAATAATCTCGTTAACTTCTCGACATGATAGTATTGCTTTTTACTTTTTACACAAAATTAAGTTTCCTGCGGCTCGTATTGGGTAAATTGCTGATTATAATCTGTATGAGTTACAGGAAAGAAGATTATTCTAAGGTCAAGATTATAGTGTAGCTACGTTAAAATAACTCTTAAACCATTATGTAACTTATGAAACAAGATCTCAATTGCTCTCGATTATCAAGAGTAAAACGTTTGCCTTTTATGTTAGTGCTTTATCAAATATAGATAGGTATAGGTATCGATTATTGAAATAAATAAATTGTCTTAGAACATTTTTAATAATTATTGTAAGTTATTGTAGCTCGGTGCGTCAATACTTGATCCAGTTAGTATTTCCTAACATTGCGATATTGAAAGGCGAGAGTTGCGCGCACGATCGGCATTCTGTTTCGTAGCAATAGTTTGGTGGCACCACCCATTATATATTTATATAATGGGTGTTGGTGGTAATGTATTAAATATTATATTTAATTCGAAAACATTATTTATTTCCGAGGTGATTCATTTGTCTGTCTAAATATCTGCCTTTTTAATTGTAATAAATCTACGAAAAGCAAGAAACATGCTTTTATCACTTAATTCGCTCGCTTTAAGTTTTTTTATTACAAGTAAATTCTTAGGAGCTTTTGCTATATTATTATATAAAATTTGACGTTTCATTTGAATGTAGTTGACGCCAAATGTGGTATTAACTTTTGAAAATGGCAGACGGTTACGGTACGTTACGGTTACGGTACGGAATAGTTTATTAAAAGGAGTTGGAATTCTTCGGTTTAAATTTAAGTAAGTGTTCTTTACAAATATATTATATTGATGAGTCATTATGTTTTGCTAAATTTTGGTACAGTGTCTTAGGCCCATATTTTAAAAGACTTGAATCTGGTCTTAAAACTAATTTCAAGAGAGATTTTTTTATTAAACGTTACTTAAAATGAGATTAACCGATCCACACTCAAATGAGTGATAGCTTATTTTAAAACGATGTTTATGTCGAAATCTTTACTCTGGTATACATTTTTACAGGTGTGATCTTTGTTTACGTGAGACAAGCGGAAATTAGTCTCAAGCGGTGATTTATAAAGCATTTTAGGCGAAATAAATTGTTATACAATTAATTGTTTCTGAATAATTACAAAAGATTTACTTTACTTTATTTACGAAAGAATTAAGTTAAGATCTGTTTTTGATTATTAAGTTTTGATCTGCACATAAAACTAGTTTCAGGCAATCAGAGTTCAATCGATACTTGAGTTGTCTTTTAAAATAGGCAAATATTAGAGGGGGCAGACGAGGAGACGGGTCACCTGATGGAAAGTACGGCGATAGGCCGCCCATGAACGTCTGCAACTCAGGCGTTGCCGGCCTTTTACTTTACTGGTAAATGAAGAAATAATATTTTTACCATTTATACACATTTAAGGGTAGTGAAAAAAGTGAAAAAGAAGTGAGGCAGTGATAATATGTAATGTATGTGACAAAGTTATTATTTAATATTTTTGCCAATAAGAGCTACTTGTACAGAAAAAAAAACCTTTTACGTGTAGTGCTCTAATTTAGAAAAAAATGGGGTCTAATACCCCAACTCCGTCTCACAAATCTCATAATAGATATACATTACTTAATGATTCTCAAACGGTTTTAAAAAGATAAGACAAGAAAACATCGGAATTTCTTTTGAGTAACTATTCCTTTACGCTTTATCGTTGTACCAAAATGAGATTGATCAACATTGTAATAGTACCTTGAGCCATAAGTCGGTCTCATGCCTCTCCGACCGGTTTCTGTAGCACACCGGCTGCGATCCTATTGGGCCTTTACACACACCACTATCAACAAGTAAGTGAAAGGACACGCCGATAATTGCTTTCTGTACGATTGGATTTTGTAACAAACTACCACTTAAATAAAGTAATAATATTCCACCCAGAGAGTGCTTTTTTTACTTTCATTATTTTTTCGAACGATACTGTTGTTGACAAATCGGAACTGCTTTTATTTTATAGTCAGTCTCTTATTAAATGCATGAAGTTTTTTTTTAATCATAAAGAACTCGATTAAAGAGAAAAAATCTAGGAAATAAAGTTAAAAGTTAAAGAAATAAAATTTCTCGTTAAAACACTCGCATCACCAATGATTACGTAGCTAACTGGTTTTATGAGAGTTTCCCATACAAAAATAGTAGTCTAAGAAAAATGTGTGTCCGTGTAGTGACAGATTAAGAATACAGAGTGTCAGCGACACAGGCGACTAAGGGAGCAAACTACGCAGGACAACAGCACTGCAGAGAGAAGGAAAACATGACACAAACCATATATTAACGTCAGGCCAGCGTGGTATAGTAGGCCAAAACCTCCTTTCTAAGGAGAGGCCTATATCTAGCAGTGGACAAAGACTGTTGATGAATGTAAAGTCAAACTATGCATACATACTATGCATACATATACGCATGTCATACAAAACTTTTTCATTGGTTTATGACTTATTGGATCTAGTAGGCGTTTGAATTCACTAGATAAAATTTACTATTGTAATTTTATCAATCTATTTCAATATATTTATGCTTTTTAAATAAAAGAATGTATTTGAAGGTTTAATAGCATCCCAAACTTTGGATCAACGTCTTTATTAAATATATATTTTTTTGTTATCTAGTTAGGTATACGCGATACGTATCAGTAAGGCTTTAAATATATTTCTTTATATTTGAAACACCAGTTGAGATTGCCATTGGTGATTGAATACATTCTCTAGACAGGGATAAAACAATTAATAAATTATTCTTGGTACTGGTCGACTATAATGTGGCATCCATAACGATACGATGTTTCTAATAATGTTTTTAGAGCGTGGAAAGTAGAAAGTTTTAAAAGTAGGCAAGAAGTTAATACAGTTCGGAAAGTATCTGTGTCTATTTGTTTAAATCATTTTATTACTTTACAGGATTTCTCAGAGATATTTAACGGTTCATAAAAAAAAAAACATCTTGTGGTTGTCACTGTGTTTCGTGATTACCGTGAATAAGTTTTCTTAGCATTAAAATCCCACTCATATTATTATAAAAACAAAACTATGACTAGATTTAAAGCCATTACTGTTGTAAGTTGGATGACTCTCTAGAAGGACGTAATTGTCGGTCAGTGACCTCCTTTTGTTCCTTCTACTAAAATAGCGTTAAATCAATTGGTGTTATTACAATTGTAACACAGTCTCATCATAACTTACAATTTATAAGTACTATGGTTTGAAAAATATATTAGTTAATTTATTTGAAAAAATTACCCTACTTTCAAAAGGAGTCTATTTAATTTATTTGAAAACCTTTAAGAGTTCGTTTCCTAACTTATTAAATATTGACCACGATTTTAAATTATAATTGTTCATGGGTGTACTTTATACGTGCTTATTTATAGGTATACTTTTAATCAATTAAAGTCCTAAAAGTAGCTCCATTCTTGTTTCGGAAAAATATATTAATGCCTTTTATCTTCATAGTGTCCTAACATGTTTAAGCGGTCTTGTGGGCACTGTTGTGGGTTCGATCCCCACATGGGTCAAAACTTTTTCATCATCATCAGCATCATCAACAGCCTGTACTAGTACACTCATAGCCCTCTCCTTAGAAAAAGGTTGTGGCCTACTATACCATGCTGGCCAGACGGGTTGGTATAGACTTTGGTTTAAGTTTCCCTTCTCTTTCCAGTGCTATTGTCCTGCTTAGTTTGCTTCCTTAGTCGGCTTTTACGACACCCACGGGATGAATAGGGGTGGTGTGTGATCCACAAATTGCTGTTTTAAGTCTGGGTATTCTTTGTGTCCGTTTCATGGATGATTGTAAGGACCCCTGCGATACAGGATATTTGCCTAGTTCTAAAAAAAAAACATAATGGAGAGTTTATTCTCTTGGTAGAATATAATAGATTCCATGTTCTGTAAATTGTTATTGTAGGGAGTTCATTAGACTTACCAGATTACATAGTGTTAGTAAGATCAGTAGACAACTAATGCGTTTCATTAGCTTTTTGGTTTAAAAACTATTGCCGGTGCGATGCGAAA